AGTGTATGCTGTAGGTATTGGAGAACATTTCACTTCTGTGTTCTAACTAGCTTAACTCCATGCTATATATGGGAACTATTATTCCTAAATTTAACTTCTCTCTCATTTTCTGAGCTTGTTTTTGTCTTGATGTATACCTTCCTAGGCGCAGGTAGGTCATTATATGTGTAAGTATTAAATGACTTTCCTGTGATGAGAAATTCCCAAACCTCCCTTGCTGTGATCTGGGGTAGTGTTCAGATGATTGTACCATAAGTAATGATCTTTTTCTATTGGTTTGAATGCTAAGGTTTGTGTATACTGTTTACAAGAGCTGCTACATACATTATAATTAGTCTTTAACTTTGTAACCTGAATTTTAATCCAGGAAATATGTTCAGAGATGGCCAGGATCACATTGAAATTTATATTACTTGAGGTAGAATATCTTATACTTCCTTTATTAAGAAACTTGAGTAGATACTTGGTTTTGTCTTTAACTTGGTTAGATACTTGGCTGTCTTCCCAGTTAAGAATAACATGCTTTCTTAGAGACTACACTTAATCACAGGGATGCTGCCCTGGCATCCATGTTTGTACTACTTGATTGTGCCTCTCTGGCCACAGTTGAATGGACCAATGGTGCACTGATCCAAGCTGGACCAACCAGATTTTTTCCTTCTAGGAATTTGGAGTTGAGAATATGAGCCAGTAAGTCTCAGCTGCTCTTTTGAAGAGAGACAGAATCTCAGGAGCTGGGACATGTTCACCTTCTGCTCAAACATGCATGAGAAGCATCAAAGTCTAGTCTTCAGGGGGAAAAGGAGCAGATATTCAGAGCTTTCCACTTGTTGGCTCCTACTCCCCTGACCCCAACTTCCTCACTCCTCTATTTGTATACACTGTCCTCCCAACCCTCTTAAGCCAACTTGAGGTTGTTTTTTTTGTTGTTGTTATTTATAACCAAAGAGATTTAACTAACAGCGACCTTTCACTGGAACATACTACTGATGCCTGTAGGTTGCTGCACAACTTTTCCTTTCTTTCTCCCACTGTACTTTCTTCCCTGCCTCCTTCCTTCTTTTTCTCTCTTCCTTAATTTCTCTTAATTCCACCCTCCTCCCAATACTGCATTATGATTGTGCATTCAAGTTATAGAGAATCTGTGTTTTAATGCAAAGCCATTTTCTTGCCAGGAAACCCATAGCTACAAACCCTCAGCTTTGAAGTGTAAATTAAACTGAAAGGTGTACCTCCCAGAATATAGTTTATAATCTATTAGCTGAAAAAAAAAGAAGTCATTGTTCTTCCCTAAAGGCAGCCTCCTCTTAGCTAAGTATGTAGGTCTAGTTCAATTTGCTTGATTGTCAACAGCTCCTTTCACTGGGAAGGGAATAACAAGCACTCAGAAGACAAAGGAAAACCAAAGGGGGTTGTGACCTTTCACATGAGTTTCTTTATCCTCTTACATTATTTAATATAGAAGAAAAGAGACTTGACAGTCCCCTCATCTGTTATTAAAGGAGAGTTAAAATGCAATGCATTTGTTTAAATAGACTTGGTAAATCTCCACTCAGATTCAAGTATTCTTGCTTCTCATGGCAAAGGGAAAATAATAAAAACTTGGAAATAGTGCACATTTTTAGAAATAGGAGAATAATTGGATAAACTATGATACATCCACATTTTAGAAAGTTGAGTGTTTATTCAAAAGAATGATTTAAAATGACATGTATTTATTTACCTTCCTGACAAATAAGCCTCTCTCCATAATTTTTAGCTGGGCACATAGCTCCCGGGTAAAGACTACATTTCCCAGCTTTCCTTGCAGCAAGGTATTGCCATGTGACCAGATACTGGTTAATGAGATATAATGATAAAGAGGAGGGGTGAGGTATATTCTTTCTTCTTTCTTTTCTCCATTTTACTTTCTGTAATATGGCTATGATGGCAAACTAAGTTAGGCCAGGTGGATGAGGGCTACTGCTTGGGGAGATTGTGCAACAAAATGGAAAATCTTGGATGCTTGGCTCATTGTGTGGAGTAGAGTTCCAGAAGGCCACCTGACCATCTACCTATGGACTGCTAAGTCATGTAGAAAGAAACTTTAGCCTTCTTAATTTGGATCTCTCTTACCTGTAGCTAGACTTATAACCCAATAATACCTATTTTAGGGGGCAAAAGAATTCAGTGGTAGAGTGGATGTTTATAATATATCATTTAAAAATATCTCTGAAGGAATTTGCCATATATATAGTATATCGGAAGATATATGATAAGCTTCTAACTTTGATTGCCTAAGAGGTATGGTGAAGGGAAAGTGTTTACACTTTTCTTCTAAAAATCTTTTTTCTTTTCAACATATAAAAATTAAAAAGTTTTTTAATTTATAGAAAAACACTTATTTCAAGTCTTCCTGAAGTAGGAGTAACTAATGTGATGGTGCTTACTTAAGCCATGCAGTTAAACACTTTGGGGGTAAAAGTTCCAGAGCAGAAGCCCAGACTGTTGTTCTGCCATGGCAGGGTGTTATATCTGCCGAGAGATTTATGTTTGTCATTCCTACAAACTAGTTTCTGGATAGAGGCCCTGCTAGCTCTTTTATGTGGTTGGGTAAATGTTGTTGGGAAGATGGATTATTTTTATTAAAAAACAAAGAGGAACTGTTGTGTTTTGCTCAAAATTTTCTCCTGATTTGCTTCCACTGTGGAGCAATTGTGGGAAGAAGTGGACAGAATGAGAGAGGGAAATAATAAGCTGTGGAAAGACATTTCCCTAGTGACTTCTCATTGGCTGACACCTGGCCAAAGTTCAAGGAGAGAAAGGGTGTCAGATAACTCTGACTTTGCTCCCCAGAATGTAGACAGTAACATCACCCACAGGATGTGGTGACATTTACACATTTGCTGATATGGAAATGAAACTCCAGAAAACAGAGGCTTCAGAACCAGTAACCAGCAGCAAAGGCTTTCAAATGCCCTTTCTGAGCAATTTGTTCAGAAAAAAATCCTTTTTTGTAATTTACCAAACCTCTTCATTTCTCTAAGGAAAGAATGAATGCCACAAGATCACAGTTAGACAAAAGTTAAAACTTCACTATTTACACTATTTAAGAGCTAATTAAAATTTTCCACTTGAGCAAGAAAAAGGAAAACCAATAGCTCCCTTTGTTTTTTCAGCTCTTAGTAAAATGGAAAAAATAATCACTGAGAAGGGAAGGGTATGGCAATACACACCTGGAAAGATATATTTTCCAGGGCCCAAATAAAAGTATTATAACATATTAAATAAATTCTGAATGGTATCATTAACTTGACATAAATGGAGGTATCTGGAATAGTAGAAAGAATATGAAATGTGGAAGCAGGCAGGTGCGGACTCAAATCCTTGATTTTTCCAGGGCTTCAAGACCATGGTATTCACTTACATCAGAAAGTGAGATATGAGACCACCATGCAGGAATTGCAAGGAAGTGTTCAAAACCAGTCTTTTATCCCCTCAGCCATTAAAAATATAAAAGGGCTGAATAGAAATTAGAAGAAAATTTTTGTTTAGAAAGGTGGAAGATTTTTATTTTACTTCAGGTCTTTTTCTTTTACTTTAGGTCTTCACTGGGGCCACCAGTGGGTTTGACATGTGTCCCCATGGTTGGATGCTTGAATCATGCCTGAGACATAGAAGGGTAAAGGACTGCTGTTGCTTTATTTTGCTGAGAAGGGATAAGAGTGAAAAGGTGCTGCAAAGGGTCTTACTTTCACTCCCCAAGTTGATTGGGACAAAGAATATATCTCTGTTTTACCAGATGTTGCCATGAGTGTGAGAAAACTGACGAGGGTTGTCTTAGATGTTAACCAGGAAGGCTGCTGGAAGGCAAAGTGGACCCAGTAGAAAGTCTGTGGGGGTATGCTGGGCCCACTTATATGGGAAAAATCCAGTGTTAGGAGGAGTCTCTGAAGAACCCACAAGAGTGCCCTTGAAATAGTTGTGTATGACTGCCAGTTCTGGGAAGCACTGGTGTTGATGGCACTGACTGGCAGGTGGGGCATAATGTCTAAAGAAGACTCACAGGGTCCCACATTCCAATGCTTCCAAACTCACAGCTTATTGTAGGAAGTGGGTAAAGCACCACCAGCATTACCTCAAGGATACACCTCTCAGCCCCAAGGCTGCATCACATCTAAGGGCAGGGAAGGGGCACAAACTCTAGCTGTCTTCTTCCTGCAGGCACCACTGTTGTACACCTGGGAGCCAGGCAGCCCAGAGCAGAGCCTTGGCTGGGGATTCCATACTCTGTACCTCAGGTAGGTGTATCCTTACTATGTGACTAGTCCCAGCGATGAAACTTGTTGGGGGGTCTCATGAAGACCAGGTGCAAATCATCCTCACTGTTACCAATAAACAGTGCTGATGAGCTGGTACAAATTACCCCCATCTGGACACATGGTTCTCAGGTGACACTATTAATCATGCCTTTTGGTGCCATTTCTTATTTGAGCAGATCAGTGCAGGTACATTCCAGGATTGCTGGAATTAACCTTCATAGCGCACCAACTTGTGAAGTATCTGTCTCGTGAGGATGTTTCTGCCCCTTAGCTCTCCCTACACTTTAAGCCTAGAAGATGGAGAGGCCCTAGAGAGTGGAGGAGGATAGAAGCTCATGGTGAAGACACAGAGGAGTCGATCACACCTACTTCCTTTTCAAAGTATGTCTGACAGAAAACAGAGTTAATTATAAATGCAGTTGAATTCTGTGACTAGTACACAGGACTAGATATTTTAATTTTGACCTGAGACTGTTTGCATAACTACTAGTAGCTGGAAAAATATATATATTTTTGGTGATGATTGACCATAAAACCACAAGACTTGCCTTAAATTTGATCTAGTTGGCAGGGGAAAAATTAGCCCCACAGAATGGGTTTGAATAGGTTGGAGAAAATGATCAAATTATTTGTTAATTATATCACAGGACTTTGATTTTCTTAATGTATAGCTTATATAAGAATATCAAAGAGTGACTGAGCCGCCGCCGCGGACTCAGCAACCTCCCCCTTAAGCCCCCCTCGCTTCCCGACGCTCCGTCCCCCCTGCCCGCCTTCTCCCCCCGCAGCCTTCCGCAGGCCGTTTCCACCGAGGAAAAGGAATCGTATCGTATGTCCGCTATCCAGAACCTCCACTCTTTCGACCCCTTTGCTGATGCAAGTAAGGGTGATGACCTGCTTCCCACTGGCACTGAGGATTATATCCATATAAGAATTCAACAGAGAAATGGCAGGAAGGCCCTTACTACTGTCCAAGGGATCACTGATGATTACGATGAAAAGAAACTAGTGAAGGCCTTTAAGAAGAAATTTGCCTGCAATGGTACTGTAATTGAGCATCCAGAATATGGAGAAGTAATTCAGCTGCAGGGTGACCAGCGCAAGAACATATGCCAGTTCCTTGTCGAGATTGGACTGGCAAAGAACGACCAGCTGAAGGTTCATGGGTTTTAAGTGCTTTTGGCTCACAGAAGCTTAAGTGAGGATTTCTTTGCAATGAGTAGAATTTCCCTCCTGTCCCTTGTCACAAGTTTAAAAACCTCACAGCTTATATACTGTAACCATTTGGGGTCTGCTTTTAACTTGGACTAGTGTAACTCCCTCATGCAATAAACTGAAAAGAAAAAGAAAAGAATATCAAAGGTAAAATTGGACAAATGCTAAGGAATGTCCAAGAAAAATTAGAGAAGTTACAAACCTAACTAGAAATGAACACTGGTATCTTTTTGCTTTCTTTTATTTTTTATTTTTAAATATATCTTTATTGATTTTAGAGAGGAAGGGAAAGGGAAAAATAGATAGAAACATCAATGATGAGAGGGAATCCTTGGGCGGCTGCCTCCTGCACACCCCCCTACTGGGGGTTGAACCTGCAACCTGGGCTTGTGCCCTGACCAAGATACCACATGATCTCACTTATTCATGGATAATTGAGACCATTATAAACTTTTGAACAATAATAGATACAGAGGCAGAGCTGCCTCAAACAGAGTGTCAAACTGCATCGGGAAGGTCGGGGAGGGTTCGGGGGCGGGAGTTAGGGGGGTAAGAGATCAACCAAAGGACTTGTATGCACTGGTGGATGAAGTCCCTGTAATTTAACAGGCCATTTCTTACGAGGCTCGAGCCCTTTTTGCTTTTTTTTTTTTTTTTTTTTTTTTTTTTTTAAGAATTTTTGTGGGAATCGGAAGATGGCTGCCGAGGGGAAGACAGACTGCAAGACAATGTGAGTGAGAGAACAGAAGGAGAGTGTGTGGACGTACCGAGAGTGTAAATTTGTGGGTGAGTGATAGCTATTCTCCAGGGGACTGTTGGAGACTGCCGGATCATGCTTCCCTAACGGGGCAGCCTCCACTGCTGCTGAAATCTCTCCCGGAGCGGCCGGCTCAGCCTTGGAGATCACATCATCTTGAGTGGCTGATATCGGAAGCGTATACATCCAGAGACCCTGCAACCACGGCACCCTGGGACCAGCTACGAACCCACGAACACTGGATCTCAAGCAGAGCGAATACGTGGACTCAGATTAGCCCTGCTCCTCCTCACGGAAAGGTCAGAATTTGCCTAAAGGTGTGGATTGTAATTCAGGTTGGAGAGAGGAATGTGCGTGGGGGAAGTCTGCGCCCCACAAAGTCCGCAGGCCGTTGGGGCCAGCGTGATTTGCGAGTGTGGAAGGGGTCCCACAGGGCTGCTGGCAGAAGGGAACTCTAAAAAGCAGCCCATAGCTGGACTGGGTGCAAAAAGGCAGCCTCGGATTTTGCCAGTGTGCTGGCTGCTTAGTGCCAGGGGAGAGAGGACCTGGGGAAGAGATGTTGGGAGAATTGTGTGCACGCAGAGCTGGACAGCGGAGGTTGTGAGCTCACACTTACTCTGGCTTTTTTTTTTTTCTCTCCTTAAATCTTTGCTTTTGATTATTAAACCCAATACATAGGATCACCCAATTGGGGTCACTCACAGAGACCGCAGGGGAAAGTTGTTTTTGTGGAATCTGGGAATCAGAGTGGGGAGTAACGATCAAGGAACCAGCACTGGGGCAGTTGACTCTCCCAAACCAGTATTAAGTGCTATACGGAAATCAAATCCTAAATACTGTCTAGAGAGAACTTATAGCCTCAGAGGTCAATCC